ATCATTCTCTCATCATCCGTAGGTTTTTTCACCGCTCCAGTCAGAGGATACTACTACTTCAGCTTCTCTGGCCATAATCTTTCAAGTAAACCAATGGGGCTGCGACTGATGAAGAATGGAGTGCAGATTGTGACTGTGTACAACCATCCAGCTGGAAATCGCTATGAGACAGCAACCAATGGCATGGTTGTTTACCTTAATGTAGCTGACCAAGTGTACATGAGACTCAGACCAAACACCTGGATTTTTGATAATGACAATAACCACAGCACCTTCGTTGGCTATTTGTTATCTGCTCATTAAGTGGATCAAAGATCAAATTAGCAAAAAAAAAAACAGACGGTTTTAAAAACTAGAAATGGAAGGTGGTTATGTTACAATAAACAAATCAAATAATCAATAAGATGAAACTCTTTTTCAGGATAACAATAACTTTTTGTTCTGCGTGTTTGAAGCATTTTTTGGGCACAATATATATAGATAGCTGTTACACTGGCTTATAAAGTTGTACCTGATGAGATTAAGTCCAACATTCCTTTAATATTTAGTTTAAGGGTTTCCAACAACCAAAGGGAAAAATATCTGGATCTATAGCAGCTAGATCTTTGACTGTGGTCATCAGCCGGTCTGTAATTTTCTCTGTTAGCTGTTGGTGCTGGGCAGAGAGTGTAGAGTGGTTTAAAACAGTTTAGCCTATAAGTGTTGATGATAGCAACTCAAGAAATCGGAATCAATCCCTGTCATGATTGTGAAAATTGAATCGTGTTGATTTATTGATTATCTTTGTCTTTATAATGTTAATTATATTAATCAAGCTCCAAGAACTGATGGAATTTAATTAAACTTTTCAAAACAAAAATCTAAATAAAAAAAAAATGCACACAAATGGCGCAGGTGGTTATTTTCAACTGGATGAAAAACTTTTATTTTAACACTGGCAGTTGTGAACTTTCATACATTTAGCACTGTCGAGTTTCACTGTAGCAAACATGTTCCTGCATCATGTGTTATCTTTTTTGTTTGTTTTTATAACTTGTTTTTCCGTTCGACTTTATCTTAGAGCTACCATAAAGCACGGCAACTAAAGTTATAAAGTAATTAATGCTAAAGTTCAGAGAACAAAGGCTAATTTTATTAAACAAGACCAATAATATAATGAACGCGGAAGAAGAAATATAATACACCTCCATAAATGTCAAACAATGTTAAACCAATTAAACCAAATATGAACACAATCCTACTCCTCAGACATTACAGATATAAAACATAAGGCCTTAGGCCTCTGAGGCAGAGACTCCGCCTTTAACACAACAAACATAAAGAACCCTCCTACGCTGTTGGTCGACATTTAACACAAACTGAGCTGAATGATGAAACACTTTGTCTGTAAACAGGTACTGACGTCTACATTCATTAGATATAGAAAACGATTCAGGACATTCTGCAGACATTTTCAGGAAACATCTATATCTAATAAGATTGAACAATAGAACAAAAAGTGCATTTCATTTCGACCTCTCCCAGATCACTCAGTCGACACTTTATATTCTCTGGAATTAAATGGGAGCGTCCGGTTTCCACGGCCACAACCATCTCCACTGTCTTTAGAGCATTGAGCTCCAAGCTAGCTGTTCTGGTTGCATCAGGTCAAATCAGGTTAAATCAGGTTTTGGCTGCAAAGATAATACTTGTCAGTAGCATCAATGCATTTTTAAAAATGTATACTCATAGTCATAGTCAACGGTCTATGATCCTTGGAGGAGCAAAGGGCGTAAGTTCAGTAAGCCAAGGATCAATGAATTGTTATTGTAAGTCTTTTTATGGGAATTGTTGACAATAAGACACATATAGAAATATCCAGCCAGCCTTGAATTTTAAGTGAAGAAGATAGACGATTGTAAATAATTAACAGGGATTTTGTTGACGAATGGTATAACCAAAGAAACCTTTGGCTAGTTATAAAACTATCATATCCCTGATTGTTGTTTTGTTCTAAACAGATCAAAGGAAATCAGCCTTTTGTTTTTAGTAAATTCAAGGGTATTTCCTTCTTCATCTGGTATATAAAGCAGAGAGTTGAGAGCTGATTAAGACAAACAGAAACCACCGAAAGATGAAGACCTCAGTGGCTGT